ATGATTCAGACATTTACACATGTATTTTTGGTTTTTAATTAATTTTAATCAAACAATACTTAATACAGTAAAGAAAAAACTAATATTATAAAGGTTATATTGAAAAATAGTCTCTCCAGCATACCTCTTATGCCTGTTCCCTAGTGGCAGCTATATTCAATTCTGTTTTTTAAAAGTTATTTAGCCCCTTATCTCTAATGTCCTGATGTGTTGAGGTTTCTAGATTTGTGAATTTTGGACAGTTTGTAAAGACTTCTGTTGACTGCCTTCTATGCTAGTGGAGGATTTAGCTGTCTGTATTCCTCTTTCTACTTTTCCTTCCTGCATTCTCTCACTATAATTTTATCACTGTTTTTGCTCTTCTTGGTAGATAATGGTTGCATTTTTGAGACTTTGTAAATATTGTTTATTTGCTGAGCCAAGAAATGTACTATAATTTTTTCGTTTCTTATTTCGCTATTTTTCCTATAATTAATAATAGGCTCAAATTTGTTTTCAGTTGTTTGTCAATACTCTTAAAATTTCCTTTTATATGTACCAAATGCCTAACAGTACATTTTGAAGTATTCCAGTACATCAAATCATGTATCAAGTCGATTTAGTTCCTTTCTCCCAACCTTGTAGGCAGTTATAATTCAGCTTCCTTGGCTCCACATTATTTATCATACGTATGTTCTCCATCTTTGAAAATTGTGTTGACACCCATCATCTTCTATTGTCTTTTCTTATATTCACTTGTGGGTTTCTACCTTTTAATTCTTGTATTGTCATTTTACTGTGGTTCTGGAGGGAGCAGAGATAAACATGTTTACTCCCAATAATATTTTTGGGGTGATGAGGGAATAAGAAGGATTTCTGTTTTCTACTTTCATGTACTCCTGTAGTGCATAGTGTTATAGTTAATTCAGTGCTGTTTCATGCTGTAAATGTTTAATTAATGCTTATTGAATGTTTTACTTTGTCAGTTGTTACATTCTTGTCCCAGCCCTCACTCTACCCCCAACATGCTTATGGGATCCTGAAATTTAATTTCCTAAAACCTGTCTTTCTCTCAGCTGCTAATATATAGCATAAAATTATTTATACAGGAAGACTATGTATTGATTTGGAAGAAAATGTGAAGTGATAAGAGTAATGTTGGGCCCTTTGCATTTTAGTGATTTATTGAGAGTTTACTGAAAGTTTTGAAACTAGGATCTGGTTTCCAGAGTCTGAATTTTAAAAAATTTAGCTAGGGGTGTGTGTGTGTGCACGCGTGCGTGAACACACGCACTTGAAAAGAGATGGGGGTCTTGCTCTGTCACGTAGGCTGAAGTGCAGTGGCATGATCATGGCTCACAACAGCTTCGAACTCATGGGCTCAAGTGATCCTTCCACCTCAGCCTCCTGAGTAGCCTCCTGAATAGCTGGTACCACAGGCATGCACCACCACGCCTAAGTTTACATTTTTTTTTTTTTTTAAATAGAGACAGAGTCTCACTATGTTGCCTATAGATTAGATGTGTAAGTTCTCTGTGGAAAATAATTCATAACTGAAGAATATAAAAGAAGACTTACAGGTTTAGTGTACACAGAGATAGGAAGTGTCATATTGCAAAGATGTCAGTTCTCTTCAGATTAATCTATAAAATCATGATTCCCATAAAAATTTCAATATGTATTATAGAACATATTAAGCTAATTCCAGCATTGATCTAGAAGAGTAATGGCAATTAAAAAATATGCTTTACTGATATGAAGCTCATTATTTTATAATTAAGACACTGTGGTATTGGTGCAGGTAGAGGCATATTGATAGGGTGGCCATTCATCTTGGCTTGTGTGGAAGAGTTCCAATTTATGCCTGTTGTCCTGGCAATTATTAATAGGCCCCCTTTCACTCTAAAGATTGTCAACTGAAAAAAAATAGAGAGAGTAATAAGTAGTATTTTTGCTCTTCTTGAGAGTCCTGAAACAAACCCACTAAATTTATGACCTATGTGGTATTAGATAATAGTGGTGAAAAGGTATCATTCAGTAAATAGTGCTAGGGTAGAAAGAAATGTAACTGCCCTTTATCTCACACTACACACAAAAATTAATCCCAGGTAGATTTAAAAACTTGAAAAGTAAAACTTTAAAACTTACACAAGAGAAAATTAGGACACTATCCTTATGATGTCTGGGAGGATAGAAATCATAGTATAAATTATAAGACTACATTAGTATTTTTATATATATATATATATATATATATATATATATTTTTTTTTTTTTTTTTACAAATAAGAAGGACATTAAAAACAATGGAAAAACAAGCCCACATGCAGGGAAAAGAGATTTGTAACACATAATAAAGAACTAAGTTTGAGTAAATAGAATCCCTGAAGATTAAACAAAAAACAGTGTGCACACAGTTTTTAAAATGGCAAGGGATATTAACAGGCATTTTATAGAAGAAGAATCTAAGATGACCAATGATACCAGTGATAATATGAAAAAGGTTCTCAACTGTACTCGTAATCATGCTAGCAAAGTTGAAGATGTCTGTATCTTTCATCTCAGAAATTTCACTTCTACATCTGTAGTCTGGAGAAGCATTCACATATGAGTACTAGAAGACAATTATTAAAATATTCATCTCAGCATTCTGTGTTTTAACAAAATAAAAATGGGAAGCAATCAAAATTCCATTATCAGGAGAATTGATAAATTTTGACATGTATATAATTAAAATTAAAATTAATGAATCAAAACAATATGTACCAAAATAGATAAGTTTTAGAAACATATATATATATTTTTTTCTTTTGGAGACAGTTTCTTATTCCATCACCCAGGCTGGAGTGTAGTGACACAATCATGGTTCACTGCAGCCTTGACCTCCCAGGCTCAGGTGATCTTCCCACTTCAACCTCCCAAATAGCTGGGACCTCAAGCATGTGCCATCCTGCCTGGCTAACTTTTCATTTTTATTTTTTGTAGAGAAGGGGTCTCACTGTGTTTTACAGGCTGTTCTTAAACTCCTGGACTCAAGTACTCCTCCCTCTTTGGCCTCCTTTGGTCTCCCAAAGTGCTGGGATTATAGGCGTGAACTATCACACCCGGCTGATGAAGCATAGTATTTGAATCAAACCAAGCTGCAAAAGGCAATACACAGTTTGGTGTCATTTATGAAGTTTAAAGACATTTAAAGCGTACATAGTTTTGTGATGTTGCATATAGGCATAATAGTATAAAATATGCATGGATACAGTAAACACCAAATTTAGGATAGTGGCTGTATCTGGGTAGTGGAGGGAGAGGATGAGATCAGGAATGGTAATAGAATACTTACGTTTTTCAGTACTATCTGTGATGTCTTGTTAACTTTTAGTATTTTCTATTTTATTTATATAGTATTATGAATAGAGTATATTCACATTAATATGCTTTATGTATATGTATATATTTTATACTTACTGCCTATAAAATAAGCAAAGATATTATTGATGCATATAAATCCATCTTTGCAATTCCTTTAATCTCCTTTACAATCTAAGAAATACTATACCAGTAGAAGTAATTTGTAGTGACTATATAGCTTAATTTTTAAGATAAATAATAAAATATTTTTTCCTCATCCAAAAATGGTCTTAGTAATTGCTAAGCTTCCTTCCAGAACTAAACTGTACTCCTTTGATGTTTCCCCTACAGCAGAAGATCTTTTTTGACAGGTTAGGATAAAGTCAAATGTTGAGGATTATAAAGCTAATTCCCTATACAGATTGTTGTTTTCAATCTGCCTGTTTAGCAACCATCTATCATCTACAATAGGTGTTTGAAAACATTTTCTATAAACTGCCAGAGAGTAAATATATTAGGCTTTGTAGACCATGTGGTCTGTGTCACAGCTACTCACTTTGCCATAGTAGTGTGAAAGCAGATATAGGCAATACCTAAATGAATGGGCACAGCTGTGTTTCAATAAAACTTTATTTACAAAAACAGGCAGCAAGCTAGATTTGGCCGTGGGCCATAATTTACTAACTTGTGATATACAATACACTCAGAGAAATTGCTTCAGTAATCAAAGTAATATTGTTACAATATTTTACCCATATTATGGGTGGTAAAACTGAGGCATAGAGATCTTAAATGGCATTATTCAGGTTAAATTGAAGTAGCCCTCCCATATTCCTGTAATTTACATGGCAATATAATTTTTTAAAAATATGTATAGGTTCTCCAAAGATTCTTTTTCTTCCTCTAAAAGTAGAGTGAGTTGGGTGGGTATAATCTCTTAGTTATTCACAATTACAACCTTTAGTATGATTAGAAGCTTAATATTCTTAAGTCCCTGAGAATCTTCTTTACAGAACCACTTTATATATGATAATTTTTTAAAGGTTTGCATTCACATGCAAAAACAAATACAAAAGCTGGTATATGATATAGTTTAGATTTGAATATCTTACACACCATTGACTTAACGTCCAAAGACAGTGAAAACTTTAAATAATATAGACAATCTATTAGGCAGTTGTTTTAGTTCTTCTGTAAAATCAACTTTATGAAGCAATTTTTTTGTGTTGTCATGACCTGCAGTAATTGAGACTTTATCTATCTGCAGTTATCTTAGGGTCTAGAAAGTATATTTTTCCCTGTCCAGTTTCATGGGCTAGAGGATAGTATTTTTTATGGTTATCAGGTAATGATGACTCTTCTGTATGCAGAAAGTAAGTCTACCATAGTGACATTGGTATCTGTGTAAATCAAAAGGAAAGATAGTAAGATTAATTTAACCAGAATGAAAATAACTACACTACTTTTTATCTCTAGAAGAATACTGAAATTACATGTGTTTGAGAAAGTTTTAATATGAATCAGAACCAGGATTTGACTTAATAAAGTAATTAAATAGATGTTCTTAGAATATTACTTTTAAAATAAGTTGAGATTTTTTTCGACAAAAAGAATACCTTACCAAGCAACGAATTGTTTATTTTTCCACTAAAAATTGAATGTATTTATTTTTTCAGAGACATTAAACCTGACAATATACTGATGGATATGAATGGACATATTCGGTTAGCAGATTTTGGTTCTTGTCTGAAGCTGATGGAAGATGGAACGGTAAATAAAGATAAATACTAAATTATTTTATTCACAGACGTTTCCCTTGCTATTTGTCTTTTATATCTGTTTTAGAAACCATCTATTTATACTGTCTACCTGTCCATCCATCCATTTGTCTATCTATGCTCCACCTCCTTCCACAAAGGGATTTGGGCATACTTATAATGGGGTTTGTCTAAAAAGTCACAAGTCATTTCAGCTGCTTATATCAAAGATCTTAAGACTGATAAAATATACCCTTTATGAGACCCTTGTTTGCTCCTTCTTTAGCTGGTGACTTCTGTTGTATTTCAGATATTTCGAAGTTCACCGGGGGTAAAAGAACTAAGTCTCACATAGAAAAAGAAAATGCAACTTTGTCCTCACTTTTACCTTTTTTTGTTCTTTCTTTCCTAATTGTCTCGTTATTCTCAGGGACAGTGTTCAACAAATGAATCCTTTTTTCAGAGAGTTTACAAGTTGATTTAGTTTCATGTTCCCATTTGCTTAACTTTTGCTAAGCTTAAATCCCTTGGTTTTTTTTGTTGTTGTTGTTTGTTTACTTAATAGCTGGGCATGGTGGTGGGTGCCTGTAGTCCCAGCTACTCAGGAGTCTGAGGTGGGAGGATCTCCTGAGTGCAGGAGGCAGAGGTTGCAGTGAGCCAAGATTGCACCAATGCACTCCAGCCTGGGCAACAGTGAAGTCCTGTCCCCCACTCCCTCACCCCCACAACCACCCCCCCCCCCCAAAAAAAAAAGCTGGGCATGGTGGCTCATGCTTGTAATCCCTTGGGAGGCTAAGGCAAGAGGATCACTTGAGCCCAGGAGTTCAAGACCAGCTTAAGCAACATAGTGAGACTCTGTCTCTATTTTAAAGAAAAAAAAATAAGTTTATATGCCACAGTTTTATTCTGTTATTTTTTTTAACTTCATTTTTTTTCTGGCCGAATAGGAGAGATCCAAAAATATATCAGTTTAATTGACAGAAACTTTCTGGAGAACAGTTTAGTATAATACATTCCAAAAGCCATGCAAATGTCACATTAGACCAGTAATTTTAACTTTGGAAAAATTTTATTCTTTTTGTTTTTTTAGACGAAGTCTCACTCTGTTGCCTAGGCTGGAGTGCAGTGGCGTGATCTTGGCTCACTGCAACCTCTGCCTCCTGAGTTCAAGTGATTCTTCTGCCTCAGCCTCCCAAGTAGCTGGGATTGCAGGCAAGCGCACCATGCCTGGCTAATTTTTGTATTTTTTGTAGAGATGGGGTTTCACCATGTTGGCCAGGCTGGTCTCAAACTCCTGACCTCAGGTGATCCACCCGCCTCGGCCTCCCAAAGTGCTGGGATTACAGGCATGAGCCACCGTGCCCGACCGACTTTGGAAAATTTGTCCTACAGTGATAACTTTGTTAAAAAGAATTATGTGACTTCTGCCTCTGGCCATGATGGAAGGAATAAATTGGTACCAAATTAGCACCCCCACTATAAGGAACTATAAAACTGGATACAGTAGTTGAAACAACTGTTTTCCAGCAGTGAACAACAGGCAGCATATGCTATTATCCCTGACATAAATGAACTCATGAGGTATTCCTCACGATTGTGCAAAGACTGGGACAGTTCCTGACTCTGATGCAGAAAGCCAGAGTGAAAGCAGAGCTGGACTACCTGCAACAGCTGGAATATTCAGGGCTTGGCATTGGAGAGGAAGGAGTTGTACAGAGAGAGGGCATAAAGTACCTCATGAAGGTTGGGCTGTGCATTGTACTACAAGACCATATGAGGCTTGACAATAGCAGATGATAGCATTTGAAAACAGACCGGAATACTAATCATCAAGCAGATCTCCCAGGTGAGAAACAGTGCTAGGGGAAATTGAATTTTCAGCCCTGGAGAGCCAGCTAACAACCTTTGTATCACCTAAGACCTACTCTAACCCTAACTAATAACCTAAGTCCAAGCCCTGATAAGATCCACAGAGTTTGGAAGTCTTCCTTCCAAGTAGAGGGTCTTATGACAAGTCTTAGATTTTTGTATGAACCTATAATCACAGAGTATATGTAAGCCAACTCATGGTCAAGGAGATCAGTCAGTAATTTTTTTATGTGCTTACATAATAATTATTTTTCTTCATAAGAAGGTAACAAACTCAATACTCTCTATAACATCTTATTCACAATGATCAGGATTCAAAAAAAAAAAAAAAAAATCACTGAACCAAACAAAAATGGGGATGTGGATAGTGATGCAGAGTCAGATAAAAGCAATCAGTAGAGGCCTGGCTGGCACACATGTTGGACTTCGCAGATGGAGACTTAAAGAAGTGATCATAGGTCAGGCGCAGTGGCTCACGCCTGTAATCCCAGCACTTTGGGAGGCCAAGGTGGGTGGATCACCTGAGGTCAGGAGTTTGAGACCACCTGTCCAACACAGTGAAAGCCTGTCTATACTAAAAATACAGAATTAGCCGGCCATGTCAGATGTGGTTAAAGTGCTGAAAACTAAAGATAAAGACATTTAAAAGCAGCCAGAAGGAAAGACGTATTACATACAGAGGAGAAATGGTAAGGACTGCTGACCTCTCATGAGAAATCATGGAGTGATATCTTTAAAGTGCTGAAGGAAAAAAATGTGTAAACAGGTTTCTGTATTAAGAAAAATATCCCTCAAAAATGAGGGTGAATTAAAGACATTTTCAGATAAATGGAAGATGAGAAAATCTCTAGCAGGCCTGGATGCTAAAGAATGTCCTCCATGTCAAAGGAAATGATACTGTTTGGACATTTGGATTTATAGCATAAAAAATATCATATGCAGTAAATAAGTGGGTAAAGAAAATGTCTATACTGTCCCTCTTATTTAATTTACGTAAAAGGTACCTGACTGTTAAAAGCAAAAATAATGTAATGTGTAATTATTTATAATTTGGAGTTTGTGACATGTAGAAGTAAAGGATATGACAATAGTCACATAAACAATGGAAGATGTGTATATGGAATTATACTGCTCTAGGATAATTGTATGTAGGGAGTATAAAGTGAGAAGTGGGTAGTGCCAGGTATGACATTGGAAGAGGGAAATAGCATGGTAGTGTTGCTGAGTTGAGAAAACAGAGATTAAAATCAGGGAGGCTTTGGCATCTGGAAGTTGGGGCCACCATTCCAGAGAGGATAGAGCTGCAGGGAAAAATAACTCCACGGAGAGAGCTAGTCCTGCATGTTACAAGCCCAGTGGACTCAAAGCTGGAGATAGAGTCCCTGTAGTCTGATGTTTGCCATTCTAAATTCCTTTTGAATGCATTTGAAATGCAAATTCCAGAATGCATGAGTAGTATTTCTGTCTCTATGAGTTTCCTCCAATTATATTTGTTCGTGAAAGTCTGGTGTGTCTTCCCAGTCATTCATTCTGATTTTGCTGGACGATAGGATATTTTATGTTTTGTTTCTAGCACACTTATTGATGAACTCAAAATTGTTTTCTTGGACGTAATATCACGTTGGACTTCCATTTTCAAAACCATAGGCTTGCACTTATAATACCAGCACTTTGGGAGGCCAAGGCGGGAGGATTGCTTAAGCCCAGGAGTTTGAGACCAGCCTGAGCAACATGGCAAGACCTCATCTCTACAAAAAAATAGGCGTGGTGGCATGCACCTGTAGTCCAGTTACTCAGGAGGATGAGATGGGAGGATCGCTTGAGCTCAGAACCTGGTCAAGGGTGCAGTGACTGTGATGGTGCCATTGCACTTCAGCCTGGGTGACAGCAAGATCTTGACTCCAAAATAAATAAATAAAAAATAAAAATAAGTAAAAATTTAAAAAACACTATAATGAAGAAACCTTGTTTTATTTTAGATTTTTAAATTAATTTTTAGATTTTATTGTCTTATTTTTTGAGGCAGGGTCTTGCTCTGTCACCCAGGCAAGTGCAGTGGTGCTTTGAGCATTTCATTTACTTACATATTTCCTATAACCATATTTGTGCTGCTGTCTCTTAATTATTTATTTTTAGATACTATCTCTTAATTTCCTACCGTGGTAGATGAGGATTCAGGTCTCTTGCTCTGCTCTTGCCCAACCAGTACGCTTCCTCTCTATCCTCCCAATGTAATTATCACACAATCCCTCATTAAATCCTGTTCATTATTTTATTATGATGATACAAATACTCATTGCGGTGTCATACAATTTGTTTTAATTGCATTTCTTTTCTTCAGAACATTTTTATTCTTCCTGGTGTAAGTGACCACTTTGCTCTGCTTAATTTTCTGTGTAATTTTCACCAATTTATCCTCAAACTCTCCACCACGTTGGATTACTTAGTAAAAGGAATTTAGCAGCTACTTTTTTTCCCATGGAGATATTCATACTGGAATCTTGCATTCTCCTAATCTGGACTGTTTGTTCTAGAGACCTACTGCAGAGGTACTATCCTAGGACTACCTTTCATCATCTTCATGGAATTTACGTTGTTCTCTAGTATCAGACTGTGTTTCCTGGATCCCATTTGGTGATAGCTGCCTGAGGAAGGTTCCATTGGAAGTAAATATTTCATAATCTTCCATGTCTGAAAAATGCCTTCATATTTTATTGATAATTTGTCTGGACATAGTATTCTAGATTTGAAACTATTTTTCTCTTAGAATTTAGAAGGCATTATGTTGTCTTTTAACTTACAGTGTTGCTATTAAGACATCTGATGCCATTCCGAGTCTCAGTCCTTTTATTACAGCCTTTCTCTCTGTCTTTGGAAGCTTGTAGAATGTTTTATTTATTCCCAGTGTCCTGAAATGTTGTGATTGTTGACTTTGTGTGGGTCATTATTTATTATCTGGACAGCTGCCTCAAATCTATGAGGCTTTCCCAAATTTGTGACTTTTAAATTAAGTTTCAACTTGCTTTTTCTCTTATGTCTCGGTCAAAACCGTACCAGCTGAATCACTTTACCTTAAGAAGTCAATTTCTGGTGGTGAAGTGTTTGCTATAATTCTTTTTCTTGCTCTAAAATTATCTTGGATAT